GTTAACAATATGGGAAATATTAGTTTTTGAAAAAACAAGCATAATTTTTACAGTAATTTTCTGAAGTGCACACACAAAACACAAGCAGTGACATAACCTGGATTTAACTGCAGGAGCTGGAACTTGCATCTCTAGTCCCTACAGAGTTTAACATGACTTTAAATCTAAGCACAAAAGGAGAATCTCCAGATAGATGAGACTGGAGTCCATTTTGTAAGGACAAGTTTTAGATTTATAAATTTAAATATCAGAATTGAATAAAACACCTAACACTGAGCTGAAGTCAGGTATTTTTAGCCAGACCCTGCATTTATGAGCTTAAAACTACCAGTATCAGCTTAAGCAAGAACCCATGCCTCACAGCCCATAGAATTATTTTACTGTAACTCAGATTTTCTGAGGGAAAACTTTAATGAGGTTGTTGCAGAGAAAATGTTCCACAGACTTTGCGGCTCCAGGGGACTGAATTATTACATGTGCCATCTTGATTGGTTGCCACAGCCTTCAAATATACTAAGAAGAGCTACTAAGAACCAAAACATTTGGTAACCACGCGTGCTAAGGCTTTGACAAGATGTACAAACTTTTTATTGTTCTAAGCCACCTTAAACCTCATATGGCAAAATATCACCACTGTAAGGGATGGTTCTTATTTTCAGAAGCAAAGCAGTCTTCATGAAGAGAAGCAAACAGATCGGTTTGGGGTGGAAGGAGCTTAAAAGACCATCTAGCTCCAGCTCTCCTGCCATGGGCAGGGACACCTTTCACTAGACCAGACTCAGAGCTCGGTCCAGCCTGGCCTTGGACACTTCCAAGGATGGAGAGAACACAATACGGTATTGAGTGCCATCAACAAGGCTCAAAGTTGGCTGAGATGTTCAAAGTACAAAGCTGATTGAGGTGTTCACAAGAAAAGACTGTCACCAGCTTTTAAGTGGTAAAATAATAAGGCAGACAAGAGTAGTTTAAGGGTGAAAATCAAAATGCTCTTTGTTAACCACAATTCTGAATTTTATTTCTTAAATCAAACTTAGGGAACAAGTTACTCTTAAGTCTTTAAATGGATTCCAAGATAAAGAAAAGTGCACAGTTGTTTTCTTAAGTTAACCGAGTTCCAAACATAAAAGACACTCTAATCTTGCACTTCAGCATCACAAACTATTCTGTCCATTTAGGTTTTTGATAAAACACTCTTCAAAAGAAATTCCAGCACCAACCTCCTTCAAAAGCTATATACATATTAGACTCAATAAATCACCTTATTATTTATAAAGAGCTTATACATACCTCCCCAGCTTTCCTTGCTAAACCAACTGCATAATCCATACATTCTTGCCAGGGATCTGCCATCTTTCCCGAGATAAAGAGCCTAGCAAGAGGAGAGATTATTACCAAAAATTACTATGCCATGTTTTCTTCCTTTTTCTGTACAAATCCGAGGTTTTTTCCTTCCCCTGTTTAGGGACAGCTCAAACGAGGAAGCAGGCTGCGCGTCCTGCGGCCCGGGGCGGGCCGTGCGCGCGGCCCCGCACGGCGCCCGAAATGGCGGCCGCGCGCCCCGCCCCCAGCGCCGCCGCTCCCGCCCACGCGCAGGCGCCGCGCGCGAGGCCGCGGGCCCGCCGCCGCCGCCGCCGCCGCTCGGGGGCGCCCGCGCCTGCGCGTGAGGGAGCCCGGCCGGGCGGCGCCGCCTCGGCGCCGGCGCTGCCAAAGTTCACCGGGGAGTGTTGAAATTAGACTTGGATGGAGACTTCTTGTTAGTAATCGGACTTGGCACGGCGGAGATACCGCATATGCTCTCCCATGGAGCACGCGATTGAAGTTTATCATAGAACATAGAGTCATAGAAAGGATGGTTTGGGTTGCAAGGAGCTTTAAAGATCATAAAGATCATACCCCTCTGCCGTGGCCAGGGATACCTTCCACTAGAGCCGGTTGTTCAGAGCCCCATCCAGCCGGCCTTGCTCCCTTCCAGGGGTGGCATCCACATCATCTGTGGGAACCTGTGTCAGTGCCTTAGAATGCTCATGGAGGGCGAGTTCACAGTCAACAAATTCTTAAAGCAATTGCAGTGCAACTGAAGCATCTTTAATATTAGTTAAAATCATACAGAAGAAAAAAACCTCCTAAGCCTGACTGATACCAGTTTCATTTTTTTTCCCCCTGTGGTCTTTTGAGCCTATTTTTTGCAGTCAGGTAAAGGCAAAACACTGCGGGCTTGTTTTGTCCTCACAAATTGCAGCTGATTACTCACTGTCCTATGTAAAATGGTGATCTGGCTAAACAGGGCAAGGGTTGCAATTTGCTTTACACTCAAAATAATCATAAAATGTCTACCACACCAAAAGAAGCAGTCTTACCCTATTGCCCCAATGCCAATTTAATGCACAGCTAGGCCAAAGGGGGTTAGTTTTGTCTTTTCCACATCACTGACAGTTTCCATTCTCACTGAATCTGTTGTGTGGGGCAAGTCACTGTGCAATTCCACATTTCCTCCTTCCCATCTCATAAACAAGAATAAACCTGCTTTCTGCTTTTTAAAGTATTCACAGTCATTAAAGAACTACAGAGATGATAAGCTGTGGTTTTATTGATTATTTTGCAAATCATTCTTTACAAGGTTTTACCAAAATCACACAAACCACTGAAGAGAGGCACTTTGGCTCAGATCAGTTTTTGTTGAGGCAAGCAGCTGAACATGCCTTAGTACAATCTAAGTACAATCTAGTCTGCATGAATGTTATGAAAAATGTTTTGTTTTTTTTGTTTTTTTTTTTGACATCATTAATGTATACTTAACATTACAGCAAGAGTTTAACAGGAGATTTCAAATTGTGCATCCACCTTAAAATCAGCAAAAGTAAAACAGGAATGCCTGAAGTTCTCTCCTAACAAGTGTAAGAATTTTCCTAATCCAAACCACAATTTCTATTCCAGCTGAAATGGAATTTTGTATTTTATATATGAGGCTACTAGGAGAAAAAGTAAGCTGCAAGGTGTATTTTTATATGTCACCTGATAAACTGGATGAACAGAGGTGACATATTGATAGAAAAAGTCTGCAAACCAGACTGATCACACCCCAGGGTGCATACTTTTCCAAAACAGACACATGAAAAGAAAATTGTGAAAATAAAAGTATGAGAAATTACTGCCTGCTTTCTTAGTGTGATATATTATTTCTTGTTTAGTACAATATTGCCCAGCCGATCTAACATGTCACGTATCCAAGCAGAATTGAACTCTCGGTGTTAATAAAACCCTTTCCACACTTTTGCATATGTTACAAACATATGTCAGGCAACCTTGCAGCAATGTTTGAACTAGAAAAAGGCCAGGACCTGCTACCACAGCATCTCACAAAACGTTTGTAAATCCTTGACCTTGTGCATTCTCTAAAATTACAGCTAGAACAACTAAAATGCTTGATATTCACGTATTTTTGTAGTTTGGCTGAAAGTACTGTTTGTTGTAAAATCGGGAAGTATTTCTTTTGATAAATTCCTTTTCCTTTACATATATTTTTTTTTGCTTTAACTTCTACTAGTAGATAAAGTTCTGTTTATTAACTTAGAAGTGAAACAATTCAACACCTTCTAAGCACAGACCTGTAAAATTAACAGTGGTTTCAAATGCAAACTGACTCCTCCAAAGTATTTTCATTTTTTTTTTCAAATGTAGTTGTTGAATTTTCTGTATGAAAATGTGCTAAGATAATGAGTTTACTTAGTGTTTTGTTTTGTTTGTTTAAAGGCATGTTGGAATCTAAAATGGTAAAATGAGAGCAGTTCTTACTTATGCAACAACCTAGAGGTCTGGAAAAGTTTCTGCTTTTGTTCCTAGTACCATTGATTAGGGTGGAGTTTTCATCTTGTCTCAATTATTTATCTGTCAGACTAATTTGGTTTTGCTTCTCACTTTCTGAAAACTACCTGGAATGAGCTTGTGTGTACAATCCTAGACACATTCCTGGAATAAGATGATAGTGAAAACTTTTTGGAGTCTTATCAACTGTGACTTGCCATGTTTGTACTGTCATTTACAGGCTGATAGCTCTTAGCCATTACTGGCAATTGATGAAAGCAACCATGCTGGTAAAACCTTTGAGGTCGCCTCAAAGATTTACAGCCTGCATCCCAAGTCTATCTTCTCTTTATCCCTAAAAACGTTATTTCAGTTATTTTTTCTGCAAATGCTACAGCAGAAAAATCAAGGGCAGGAGGAAGGGTGTAAGTAGAAAACTCTTAAAGACTTAGCAGAAGATTTTCTGCTAAAAAAATGACCCTGTTGCACAGAAGTATTTTTCACTTGCTTTGTAGCAACAGGGTGGGAAAAAAGTTCTGTTTAGGGCTCTTCCCAGTTCACTGGTTCCACAAGGCTGGTTGGCTCTTAATACATATTCTTTACGATAGCAGCCTAAGATTAAAAGAAAGATGAATAGACAATTGAAGATGAAAGGGAGGAAAGTAAGTAACAAGGGAAAAGGGAACTATTCCTCTTGTACTAGAAAGCAAGGTAACAACTGGAGAGACAGGCAGGGTAAAGCAGAAAAATGCTCCTGTACTTTCCACTGACAGGAGACAAAGATTTCCAAAATACCCAGCCACTGAAAACCCTTTCCTTCATGGAAACCAAAAACATCTTCCTTTGCGTGATATCCCCGCCACATCCAGTAAAGTAATTTATTCATACCTAAGTCATGTTAAAACTACAGTAAAGAGTACTGTAAAGCAAAATAACTGGCAGGCTTACTGAGATCTTTTATCCCCCACCTAATCACACAGTAAGATTTACAATCAGGAAGACACCTGAGTGAATTCACTTCTGCTTCATAAAGCTTTCCTCCCAAATGTCCTTAAACTATTACAAGAAGAAAAGGTGAACCTGGTGTATGGACAGTGCTGGTTTCCAAATGCCATCAAATCTGTTCATGTAGATGTTCATGTAGAAAAGATGCTGCATTAACATAATTTGTTTCTTTCCTTCAGAAAACTGTCACAATGCAAGTTTACATTTTCATTATTTATTAAGATATACTGTCCCCACTACTTACACAAAAATAAATAGCAAATTTAAGAAAAAATTCTTTAATTATACAGCTTAATAGAGCAAGAATTTATTCCCTGAATGTGAATATCTGTAATATTAGTTATTGTAATTTTTCTTTCAGGACATAGTTTTTCTGTCAGTCAAGCAACTGAGAAATTGATGGGAACTGTGTCTTTACAATGGAAGACAGATTCTGGCATACCAGTGATTTAAAAAGAAAACTGGACTTGCTTTAATACCATGCTTCTAAAAAATACTGGAATTTTTTTTGTGAAAATGTTTTGACTAACTAAAGTAGGATTCTGTATCTTCTATAAATAGAACATCATTATGAAGATACTCCAGAATTATATTCCCTCCATTGTACAGTGGATAGTCTTTATCAGATAGCCATGTTTCCAGTGTGTGCTCAAATGGCAAGGCTTCTCCAGAGGCAGTATGGCATAATCTCAGTTTCTGTAAAACAAATAGGACAGAAATTAACACGAGGATTTGCCTATCCAAGATGAAAGAAGTGGGGTGGGAGAGGCACAAATAGCTAAACAAAAACTAAAACCAAAATGCAACAACCTGGAAAATGTTTGTTATTGCTTACTTACTTGGGATGTTGATTTGTTGTTGTCATTTTTAAGGCTTGCTAAGGAAGCTGCAAAATCTACCACTTTGCCAATACTCCACTTACTGCAGAAGAACATGGGCTTGCTTTTCTCTTTGTTCCCTTTTGGTAAAAATACTTGAAAGTAAATTCTTTCTGTCTAGAAAAACATGAAAAATAAGACAAAAATTAAAACAATTGATGAAGACACAATGCCAGGGCTTCACAGAGGAGGTCACATTTTCTGGGGACCAAATGAATTGTGGGCAGGAAACAAACCCCGTGATTCACTTGGCAAATTAATTATGTTGGAATTCTCCCTTGAGCACCTGAGGGGTGGTGTTCCACCCTTACTGGAGATAAAATAAGGAAGGCTTAGGAAAAGCTTTTGCTTGTGGTAAAGCTGATGGTCTTACCACTCTGGCAGGATTTAACCAACGGTTTGCTGACACTGCCATGCCCTCTGCTGTGCAGTCTGACAATGACATTCATTTAAAAGAAAAAAAAAAAATCCAGGAATCCTAGGATGATCATGGAGTTGCCTGCATGTTCCACCTGTCCTCAAAGTAATGGTTCAGTCAAGAAACGTAATGGTCCACTAAAATGAGCTCTAAGACAAAGCTTCCTTATGAGAAAATGGGGTAAAGCCTTTCTTAAAGCTGTTTGAATTTTAAAATAATCAGCAGACACTCATCAGATGTCCAGTGGAAGAAGCTCATTTTCCTGCTCTCCAACCAGTAAAATGTTTACTAAACCCCCTACTGTCAGACTTCTTTTTTTTAGGGTGACAATGTTCTTATTAACTACTACCCTTATGAAGTTTAAAATACCTGTTGGTCCCTTTACTAACTCCCGAAGTAAAGGGCACATGAAAAACTGTTTCTAGATGGGGACTGCATTTACCTTCATAGAGATTTGGATAATTCCCAAGAATAGGTACTTTCTTGTCATTTCAGGAAATGAGTGAAACTTGGACAGATTTTTTGGCCTGAACAAACCTGGAGTATGCCCAAGTAATCATCCCTTTACCTGTGTAGAAACCTCAGCTGTAAGAAGATTATCACAGTACCCACTGTATTGTACTGACTGTTATCTGTACCTCCTTCCTCCCCATTTCACAAATGGGATAATTGTGTTATACAGTTTATGAAAATCATTTCTCACATGGGTTTTTAACACATACAAATGGTTTTGTATATACAACACTCTCAATCTTCAGATGCTAATTCTGGGTGAGTAGCTGAATCTGCACCTGAAACATCTTGGTACCAATCTAAGTTGGCATACTCATCCCTCCACACTCTCAAAATTAGCAAACTCAAACACTTAAGGCACATTCTTATGATAAGATTTACTTTGTCCACTGCAATGCCCAAACATATGAATTCAGTCTTGGTGGGAAAACCAAGCAATTACATGTTTCAGGACTAGGTGACCTGAAATATTGATATTGCTAGCCAAGTATTAAGATTTGACACTATCTGCACAAAGAGTCCAGGTTATAAGGAACAACAAGCTAAGATGTGCTATAAAATTCTGTGCTGCACTACTTACAAAATTGTGCTACAGTGGTTCTAGAAATCCTGTTCTAGTATAATAATGAATTCTATGTTCTGCTGATCATCAAATTCTGCTAAAATAATAAGATTTAATAAACTTAGTGCTGTCATCTTTCTGCCAAGAATTCCCAGAAGACCCCATTTACCCCAGCAGTGTTATGTGACAGCCATGTGGCAGGCAAACACATTTCTGCTATGAAGTAATAGAATTTGATTCCACTGCTCCAAACTCCACACAGACATCTTACAACAGACATAAGACTAGTGAGACTGCTTTTGGGTACCAGGCTAAAATGTACATTGAAGGGGTTGTGGTCTTGCAAAATTAAATCCAAAATCAAGCTGAGGGAATTCCATGAAAATCAAACAATTTAGAAATCTTTCCAGTTCCTTTGAGAATTCAATTATTGAAAACAAACATCACTGACCTGAGGCAAAGACTTGTCCCCACATGCATGCATTTTCAGCTTCATTAATGCCACTTTTGCTGCTGTCTCACTGTTTTTTGCTCCTTTACGTTTTTTGCTTTTCACTTCGTCACTCTTTTTAGAATCTGAGAACAATATTATTCCTGTTAGTGTGATCATTCTGAGAGTTTCCTGAGGATATTATATGACATAGACCCACTTAGTCTGTTGGGTCTCATTGTATCGCACAGGATCCCATCCCTTTTTGTGTCTGTTCATTTTCTCCCAAAGTCATGTATCAGCATTTTTTGTTCTAGCAGAATTCCTTTACATTGAAAGGTAGATGAACATTTTCACCATGTAAACACAGGCTGCAAAAGCCAAATAGATACAAATTCTGAAGTTTCTACAGCTGTGGCCATCACAGCATTCATATGGCAACATTTCAGGTCCTCCTTTCTACACATAATCCCACTGTCCAGCTGGGCAGTGCTAGAGTTTGTTTAAAACCTGCGAAACATTACATGGTAGAATCAGACTTTTCTAGCCATCTTGATTGTTAGGTGTGATCCAGCAGATTGACATGAACATCCAACACAACTGCATTGTTTGCACATGGATTAATATGTAAATAAAAATGGCTAGGTACAATTCATTATAGCATAGTACTTGTAGAATGATGACAAAACAACAATTCTGAAAGAAACCTGCACCCTATTTATTCTTTAGAGATTCTCCTTGTACTGTTGTTTTGGCTCAGTTAAGATGAACAGTATTAAATGTTGACATGTAAGTTTAGGGCTATTCAACCAAGGAACTCCCATGCTTTCTTCTTATTTGGTCAAACCTGATCCCTCAAAGGAGGTCAAAAACTCAAATAGCGTTCTGAAAAAAATGTAAGAAAAATAATATCTTGCCTATAATATCTTGAACAAGCTGCTGAGTGGCAGCCATTCGAGGTTTCGGTGTGTCCAGCTTCTCACATTCATGGTCTGATTGATGACGATGTCTGTAAACAACAAAGTAAAACTTCTATTGTGTTTTCTATACATTAGTGAATGAATACTGATATTTAAACACTCTGTTCCACCCACCTGAGACAAAAATGTTTTTCACAGTAAGGACATAACACTGGCAAAAGCTCCTTTCCATTGCAGTCCTTGTATGAGCATGGGTAAGATCTGTGCTGATCAGGTTTCACAGTGCTGTTTCTTACATTCACCTAGGAGTATGTACAAAATATTTTGTGTAAAAAAACAGATACTACAGATATAAGTTACCAACCCAACCAGCTTTCTCAAAGATCTGTGCTAGCTCTCCATTTTGTGGGCAAACCTGGTCCAGCTATTCTCTGCTACTTTTGCCATGGTTAAGTTTAGCTCAGAGGTTGAACAAGAACTGTCATCCTACTCAATGTCAATTTACTTCTGACAAGAATAAAAAGAGTAGATTCATTTTTTTTAAGCCTTTTACATTCTCAGTTAAATAATTCACACTTATATACCATATGTATTCATCTAGTCTGAAAACAAACAGCTAAGTTGCAAGGAATTTTAATGTAAGACTGCCACATATTATTAGATTACCTCAGAACACCCATGAGCATCTCGACTCCTGTGCTGAAGGCTTTGTGGAAAAAGAAGAAAATATCACACTGTTACCAACATTCCAGGAAAAAAACCTTACATGTGAAAACATTTAAGTGTTTAAAGAGTAATCTGACAAGTTTTAGCATGGAAAAACTTCAATTAGATAATGAATCTTCTCCAAAGTTTGTTCTATCCTATGCATTTCACTTCTTGAATGGATAGATCATATTCCTTCTCAGAATGTAAAACGTTTAGCTTTTGGAACTTATGCTTCAAGATAAACAAACCATTTCAAAAGAATGAAGACATTAGCATGCTTAACTTGAGTTGAGTTCAAAGCAACCAGAGCTTGATTTTTCAAATTTCTTCCATAATGGCAGAAATCCCTTGAAGGCTTCTGATATGTTAGAAGTGAAAACTGCCTCCAATCTCTGAGTTTCTCTCAGCTGCCCTCTGCTAACCTGAACTGTAAATCAAAGTGCAGGCCTCGATTTCCACCTTGCAAGAAATATCAAATTTTTTTCAAGAGGAAAACATAATCAGCCACCTCCTTTTGTGACAAGGTCACCCATTTATATGACACTGGGAAACCAGCCAATGTGGTGGTTTGAATTTTAGCAAAGCTTTTGACACTGTCTCTCAGAGTGGTCTTCTGGACAAAAGGTCCAGCACACAGCTAGACAAATCTGTAGCACAACGGGTGAGCAAATGGCTGATGGTTTGGGCTTAGAGAGTCACAGTTAATGCCATTGCTTCAATCTGGTGGACACTGGAGTTCCCCAGGGCTCCATTTTAGTGCCAGTGCTCTTTAATATTTTTATAAATGATCTGGATACATGTTATGGTTACCAACCACTCTAAACCAGGAAGAGCTGTCAACTCCCTTGAGGGTGGAGAAGTCACACACAGAGATTCTTGATAGACTAGAGAATTGGGCAGTCACCAACTGTATGAACTTTAATGACAGCAAGTGGAGGATTCTTCTCCTGGAATGAGGAAATCCTGGTGACCAGCATACAACATGAGGAAATGGAAAGAGGCTGTGTCACAGGAAGTTCAGGCTGAACATTAGGAAAAAGTTCTTAGAGAGGGTGGTTGGGCACTGGAAAAGGCTCCGCAGGAATGGTCATGGCACCAAGCCCGTTGGAGTTCAAGGATTGCCTGAATAACACTTAGTCATATGCTTTAGTTTTAATCCTGTGAGGAGTAGGGAGTTGGACTCGTTGACTCTTGTGGGACCCTTTCACTCTGTGATTCTACGAACTTACCAAAAGATACCTGAACAGCCATCACATACAAAGGGAAGAAAATCTGAAACAAAAAGATTTATTTTCAGTTAAGACAACATGGTTGTTTGTTTTGGTAATAGTTTCTAGCTTAATTTTCACATTATTAACTTTTGTTTACCAACATCACAGGGTAGGTATATTTACAAGAATATTTAGCAACTGCATCTACACTTTAGCTAAAAGTGGCTTTTGTTAACTCCCCTAATTATTATTACACAAAAACATACGAGCAGGTAAATTATACTTACATTCATTTCAGAAGTTGGAATTAGGCTTTAAATTCAATTTTTTTTCAATATCAAGCTATGACACTGGAACATATGGCTAGTCATCAAAATTACTAGTTATGTTAAAAACTGAATTTATTGCAAGACCACTCAGAACACTATTTTCTGACAGTGGACAATTTACATTTTTTTAATGGGCTGCCAACTGGAGAAGATGCTGGCTCTTTGGAAGGGAGAGCATCTCCTCCACTGGTCATAATGATCCTGCCCCTTCTTCACATCATATCGTACATACTATCCTTAGGTGATTAAAATTGCACACACTTCCTAAGCATCTGTACACATCCCCTGGCTACCACATAAATTCTTACACATAAAATCATTTCACTGTCTGCCGAACTCCTCCACGTCATTAATGGCAACAAATGCCACGTCCAGCCCACTACTCTGCTTTTCCATCTTTCGGATTTTATGTTGACAGACCGCCACGCAACTGGAGCATGCAACTAAGGTCACGATCATCTCGATCACTTCATCTGAGTGGTCCCTCAGAAAGCTTTCGGTACAGGCGGTTCTGCTGCTTCTTCCCGAGCTGTTGTATTTCCAGTCACACTCTCCGAGATCACTGAAGGCAGCAAGCGTGAGAAGGGGCAAGCGGGCTACGAACCACCCAGTGACACAACCGAGGTGACAGGCGCTGGCACGGGGCCGCGCAGGGCTGCAGCAGCACAGAGGACTCCCCGATCGGGGGGCACCCCTCGCAACTCGGCACTGTCCCCAGCCCACCATCCCCGTCTCCGCCGGGACCCGCCGCGCTCTCCTTACCGAGCTGGCGGCACTCGGGCACCCCGCAGTGCTGCCCCACCTCCAGCTCCGCCATGTCGGCGGCACGCAGGAGGCGGAGAAGCGGCGGGACCCGCCCGGGGCGGCCGGGGCCGGGGCCGGGGCCGGGGCGGGGCCGGGGCCGGCGGGACCCGCCCGCGCCGGGCTGAGCCGGGGCCGGGGCGGGGCCGGGGCGGGGCCGGGGCCGGCGGGACCCACCCGCGCCGGGCTGAGCCGGGGCCGGGGCGGGGCCGGGGCGGGGCCGGGGCCGGCGGGACCCGCCCGCGCCGGGCTGAGCCGGAGCCTGAGCCCACCCCGCGGGCTCGGAGCGGCGGGGCTGGCGGCGTTGCTGGGCTCGGGGTAACCTGCTCTGATCGGCCCGAGCCTCAGCCTTCGGTGTGCCCAGAGCCGCGGCTGGTGCTCCTCGCGTTGTTCCAGGGGGGAAAAAAGGCATGTTTTGTGTCTTATTTGTGTCGCTGTTTGCGTCGTTCCATGGGGCAGAGGCTGGTTCCCTGAGGCAGGGCGGAGGTAGCCCGACTGCCCGAAGCACTTCGTGCACCCTGAACCCTGTTGGTGCCACTGAGTTTTCTTTAGCGGCGCATCCCCCACTTTTGTAAAAAAACACATTTTTTTCAGAATTCAGTGTTATTTTCCCAACCCTGACCCGCGTGCACGCTTGTGCCCGAGGGTGATGCCCTCCCAAAACACGGTCCCGCGGCATGTCTCCAATTCCTTCCTTCGAAGGAGAGACTGAAAGCGTTGAGCCTCTTCAGCCGTGAGAAGAAACGACTGAGAGGGGACATCACCAATGTCTATAAGCTTCTTACGGGAGGGTGGCAAGAGGCTGGGGCGAGGCTCTTCGTGGCGCCAAGCAATAGGACGAGGCAACAGGCAGAAACTGTTGGCACAGGATTTTCCACCTGAATACAAGGAAGAAATTTTATTGTGTGAGTGACCACGCAATGGAAGAGGTTGCGCAGTCTCTCCCTCTGAGAGATACTGAGCCGCCTGGATGCAATCCTGTGCCATGTGCTCTGGGATGACCCACTGTGCGTTCTGAGATTCTGTGACGGGAAAAAGCGCCGGCCCGGCCCGGGACGCTGCGGCCGCCCCGCGGAGCTCGCCGGCTGCTCCCCCGCTGCCCGGCGCTGGCTGAGGGAGCGGAGCTCGGCCGCCGCGGAGCCGCCCCCGGCCCGCCCCGCCGCCAGGTGCGCCGCCGCCGCCCGTGGCTCAGGAAGTGCTGCCGCGGCGTGTGCCGGGCGGGGAGGCTCCTGAGGACCGGCTCGCCAGACCTTTCTGTCGGCGGGCGCCGAGCTGGGATCGCCGCCATGAGCAAGATCTCCAAGTTCTTCAAGGGGGGCGGCTCGGCCGCCTCCAAGGGCCGCGGGGGTCCCTCGCCGCAGGAGGCGCTGGCCCGGCTGCGAGAGACGGAGGAGATGCTCAGCAAGAAGCAGGAGTACCTGGAGACGCGGATCGAGCGGGAGCTGGCGGTAGCGCGGCAGCACGGCACCAGGAACAAGCGGGGTGAGTGCGGGCCGGGCCCGCGCGATTAAAGCCCGGAGCGCCCTGGGTACCAGGGGCGCTCGGGTCTCGCCGGGCTGAGGCTGGGCCGGGTCCCCTGGCCCCGCAGGTGTGCAGTGCTCGGCTGTGGGCTGCGAGCGAGTATCACCGCACGCGAGGCGGGATGGTGGTTTTGGCATCCACTAGTGTTTAATGAACTGTGGATTCATCTAGTGGGATGGGAAATTGTTACTCCTCACAAATTTGCTGTCTGGTTTCCTGTGCGATTCTCCTGTTCGTGCTTTGCACCACCGTCGATGCAGGTACTGGCTGGATACACTGGCTGGAGGGCAAAGTGCTGCTGCTGTTTGGGGGCTCAGCATCGGCTGGGCAGGTGGCGAACGACATGAAGGATGTGCGGATCTCCTGTATATTCACAAATCAGTGCACATTATCCCCATTGCTGACAACTGAGCAACACAGTGATGCAATGATTTGTCCAAATAATGTAAGAAGTATATGTGAAACCGAAAAAAGAATGATAGCTCAGAGCTTTTGTGACTGCTGTTAGCTACAAAGGAGAGGATGCTAAGGTCTGGCTTCTATGTATACTGATGTTGTCACGACTGGGAAGCAAATGATGGTAGTCAGTGTCTTGGGGATATACTGGCCTCAGAGAAACAAGTTAATTATTTCCTGAAGTCACATAGAGGCCTGTTTGCCTGAGCTGTATTTTAATTTAAATGCTTAATAACAGAAGAAGGATATTTTGAATTAAAGATTTGTAATGTGACAAGAAAGTAGGTCTTTTGCCTGCTTGTTCTGTTACTCAGTAATTTATAAAATAATGCCTTGTAACTTCAAACTTGTGTTAGAGGTGTCCTGCCCTCTAATGTATTTGTAATGCTTTAGCATTTAATAATTATTAGCAAAAGGCAGTTTAACTAAACTAACTTTTAGTTAAAATTGATTTAAAATTGTGGGTCAAGATGGGACAGATTTGAAGGCACAGTTGAGGGACTAAACTCAGTTGAGTGCTCAACTGTGACAGGCGCTCAAGAAGATGGGGTCTGTCACAATTGTCCCAGTCTCACACTTTCTATTCCCCTGGCTTCAGCTGGAGTGTCTCTTGGTCCCTTGTCTAGGTACTGGCACCTCTGTACTGTCACAGTGAGCTAGTTCAGGAAGGTGATCCACCTGGAAGCTAATTTGCTATGGAACAAGTGACCAGGTAGCTCTTGGGACTGAATTAATTGTGGAAAAGCCTGAGCTGCAGGGCTGGTACAAGCAAATAGGTTGGTTCCCATGACTGTAGCAATTCCTGGTTAAATCCAGACATGCTGTTCTGAAACTTCATCCCAAACCTGAATTATAAGATGGCACATTTGCAGAAAGAAGCATTTCCTGCCTCGCTCCTGCCCTTATGCTGCTCCCTTTCTTTCCCTTAGCAGAGTTCCCTGAAGGATGTGTTTAAGAAAGCTGGATATTTTTAAATATTATGGTTTTCTTTGCCTGGGTTATTCTTTTTACCCAGGACGGTTTAAGTTCCACTTATCCAGTTGACCTGGTAGCTACATGAGTGCTTGTGAACCTGTGAAAGAGAGAGAGGGGGGCACAGACAGGAATGAGAATTTGTTGGAAAAAGGTAGATCTGCTTCATCTTTAACTCAGCGGATTGATGGTGGTTTCAGGTGTATGTTGGCCTTTTCCTTCAGGCATGTAGCATTTGATATCTGAAGTTTTTCTCCCAGATTGTTGCTTCCACTGCAGTGCTCAATATGCAGTTGCCCTAGTTTTTTATGTATTAAATTGTTCATGAAGTCGTATTGCAAACTGTAGTGTTGAGCTGATTGTGGTTAAAAACAACTGCCTTTTATTTTGTCATTTGCTTAGGGAGGAACAGTTTAAAACAGTAAAGAGGCAAGAGTAGGGCTAAAACTGCAGTGGGGCAGTTCTTATTCATGCCAGAAATGGTTCTAAAACCAAAATGGGATAACCTAAGTACAGTCAGGAGAGAAACAATATGAACCATACATTGTTTAAAATATAACCTTGCTCTGCCAAAGTGCTTAAATTTAGCAGGATAGTTAGTGAACTTAAATCCCCAATAATGGCTTCATTTGATGTGTCAATTGCTTTACAGTTTAATTACTGTTGATTTACATTGACATCATATTAGCTAGTGTGTAGTACTGTATAGCTCAGAGAAAATATGTGCTAACCACCATCTATTGTAGCATTATGTAAACATACATACAAATGAGAAAATAAAGGTTTTAATCTACACTGCCTTGTTGAAGTGAGTGTTTTGGTGGGATGTCACTGCTTATTTTCAATGTAGGTTCTTTTTTCTTCACTGCATCTGTATAGAGGCCTATGGAAACTAAAATGGAGCTATCAGCAGCTGGAGCAAGATGTAGCTAGGGATAGAAAATGCAACAAATTAGCATGATCTCACTTGATTTTTAGGTGCATGAGTCTGAGTCAGTTGCACCAACACAAGAGAGAGCAGATTCAAGCACCAGCAATTTCTCGTGACTTCATATGACTCTTGAACAGGTTTCATGTGACATCAGTAGGCTTAACTTGATTTAAAAGCTGTAATGCATTAGCTATGCCATAGATGTGAAACATCATTGAAATTGTCCTGGCTTTTCCTTTATGGAGTATCTCTGCAGTTTCTGTACCTAATCTGAAATTACCTATACTTTTGATGGGATGCATTTCCAGCATTCCCCATTAGTATCCGATTGTAGCTAGACCACTTCAAGGTTTTTTGTTTGCTGAAATTCCTCCTGAAGAGGTTTTGTCATGAGAAGCAATATTTTTTTTACGGTTAGCACCGAATTCTAATGTCTCTCCACTCCAGGAACAAACTCTTTTAAAATCTCTTGCTGTACTTTTTGGGGGTTTCTCAGTATAAGCCAGTGCATAGCTGCCAACTCCATCTACATGTTGGCTTTTCTTATCCATTATTTTAATGAACATAGAAGAAAATATAAAGAACAAGAAGTGATACTGAATATTTGAGAACTTTGTTTAAAAGGAAATGTGCTTTCTGAAGCATGCCTGTAATTGTGAAAATAGCATGAATGTGTGTTGTTTCAGCCCAATGTCCTTGACAGATCCTAAAAATATAAAAAAACTTAATAAAAACAATAAAGTTAAGCCATCCAGAATAGGATTAAATCTTAACTATAAAGAACCACATAGTACAACTGAGGACAAAACCTATGAAGAAAGTGGGAAAAACAGGGAGGGTTTCACAAGTAGATGCTGCTAAACGTGTGTTACATTTGGGCAGGGCACATGTAGCCCTGTAGCATTCCTTTTCAGTGAGTTGGGTGTAACCAGGAGGCTGTGGAAGCCAAACAATGATGTGGTAGTTGTGTGTTATGATGGACAGGGCAGTCACGCCTGCAGCAGGCTGTGGGACAGGTTGGGAAAGAAAAGCCCTTGGTGTGTCTTTGCTCTGTGAGTTGCAGTGATTGTTCTCTAAGTCAGAGAACAATGATCACATTTCAAGTGTCTTGCTGTGAACTGGAATACTTATAACTGGTCCAGGTCATTATTATTCTTGATTTAGTGTCCCAGCTGTAGCTGCATGTGGCTTCCTCCACAAGGCTTTAAGGACTGTGAGTGCTGACAGTGAGCCTAATTAGGGTCCTATGATTTTTATGGCCTCTGCAGCATTGCCCTCTGTTGTCCCTGGAGTGAGGGAGATCAGAAGCTGCAATCCATGAATCCCTTGCAGGCCTGAAGTGGAGTTTTGTGAGCTGTATCCAAGAATGAGACCTGGTATTTTCACAATCATGTTGCATCATCAGAAGAAACACTCTTTTCCTACTTTAGTAGTTTCATCATTATAAGGATTATTAGACAACTGTTTTATTTTTATGACATCGTTGGTGCTTTCTGTACTGATGGGTGTTGGCAGTAGGCTTGACTGGTAAAGGTGGTATTACTGCACTGTTACTTTTCAGTCTGATCTGTCATGAAACCATGAGAAGGGTGCACAGCTATGCAATTACTTCTGCTTTTCCTTTTGAAATCTGGATATTCAGTGTGACCAGGATTCTTATTGCCAGGGTGGCCATTAATGCTTCCTTACTAAAGTGTCAGCATTGTAGTAATATTGGAAAAGTGCCCTTCTGTATAAAAGGAGTTCATTAATATGCAAACTTAAACTGACATAGTCTTCTTTTGTTCCAGACACCTTATGACTATAAAATAAAAACTCATATTAAAAGCAGTGGTTCCTAGTCTATGAGCTGTATCCTGCTTACTGGATTCAGGAGTACAGGAAATGTACTAAAGCCCAGCCAAGTGCTGACATTTAAAATTTCAAGAGTTGCATTGGCTTTTTTGGAGCACGAAAGAAAAAGTGCATGAGACTACTTTTGTGTTTTTTTCCTGGACAAGCCCTCCACCTCTTCCTGAATGAATTGGTGTTAATTACACTTGCTTCCTCAGACTCTACCTCTGCTCAAACTCATCCTCCCCAGTCTGTCTTCCTTCTTTGAGATCTTTGGAATGGGGAGCACCATTTCTCAGTGCCATTCTTAGACCTTCAGTGAAATGAGTTTGCCTTTTCTGCTCTATTTAATTATATTTTTATATTTTAATTATATTTTAATAGATACTTCCTTCTCTTCCTTGGTAATTACAATGTGATAGCATTATAAAGCAGAAGCATTTCAGTCCTGTAAGACTTGCACACAAATTTAAAAATGCTTGTAATATGCAGTGGAAAAGCACCAAAATTCTAGGTACTTTGTAAAACACAGGAAAATAGGTTTCAAATAACAAGGAAATTCTCATAAATTAGTGATAGGAGCTCCTGTAGCAAAATACTCTGCAATAAAGGGCATTCATTTAGCACAAGTCAGGAAAATCATATAGTGTGGTTGAGAATTTATAATGCTTTGGTTGATAAGGAAGGAGTATGAATTTATTTCCTATGGACTGCTTTATCCTGTAAGTGACTGGTAAAACTAAAGAGAAGGAAGATAATATCTTGTACCACATTAATTAGGAAAAGCTACTTATGAATAGCTGAAGTCGCAGAGAGTTTAGTTTCTCTTGTGTTTTCTTGATTTGGGTGTGGTTTAATGAAATGATCTTCAGGATTTTGAAAACAACTGCTTTGTGTTTAACTGAGGAAATCCATTTTCTTTGTGAGCAGCCAACAATAACAGCACCATTGCAGAGTCCCATTTCTGAAGAGCACTGACTAGAAAGTCTGCCCCATGGTAGGTGCTTGCTCCAGCTGAGCACTCCTCAGTCCACAGGGCCTCAGAGTCCTCTCTGGCCCAGCTGTTGTTATGCAGTTTCAGACTGTTACCTTTGTCTGGAACTTCTAACTTCCTAACCTAAGAATCCAGGATCAAATTTGATCCAGTGGAAGCTAAGAAAGGAAGTGGCTGGTGTCTTAATTCTACCAATACTAAGCATAAATAAGTAAGGAAATAATAAGTAGGTAAGCATTGTTTGGGATTAAATAAAAATAAAGTATTTTAGAATTGCCAGTGAGAATTTTACAGTTCTTATATTTGCCATTTGCATGACATCATCTGGTGTTTGCACAACTTCAGAATATGCATGATCTTTGAACCATCCCCCAAAACCTTGGAAAATCTTGGATTTGAATGTTGTGATTAATCTGTTGGGATTGTGGTTTGCTGTCCTGAAACATCTCACTCCCGGTGGTGGAAGGCATCTTAGCCTGTGTGAATGCCTGTCCTTGTACAGCTCATGATGAACAATTTTGATCATGTTGATTCAAGCATTTGTCAACAAAGCATTAATATTTTTAGCATGCTGTTACGCACCATAACTCTTTGTGCCCTCCTTGGGGGAATCCTAATTTCATTTGAAAAGTTGTGTACCCCAGTGTCAAGGTTCAGTGTTACTGTGTGTGGGCAATTTTAACAGGATAGCAGCAGCAGCTGCTGCTGTTGGTTGAGTTTGGGGAGGCCACAGGGGCTTGTAGGTTCTGAATCTTTTTAAAGATTAAATGTAGGAGACAAGGGAAGGAATGGGGGTGCTAATAGCATTGAAAGAAACCAAACAATGGGTTAACTCAGTCTCTTGTTTTGTTTGGTTTTTTAGCCTGGCATATGTAGTTTGGAAAGGACTGTTATCAGGAAATGCTTGTGGCAAAATTGTGTGTGTCCACACCCTGAGGCCAAGAGAAAGTTCTCTTCCCCCAATGCTTGTCATGCGTGCATTTATTCTGGTAATGATTTACTCTGGGCAGAGTACGCTGCTCATAATTTAATGATTATAAAAAACTAATCTCAACTAATTTACAAAGATAATGGGGTGTAGCTGAATTTGACTGTGTCCGTGTCTACAAAGTTATTTATGTTTTTAAATTCTAAGATTTAAAGATCATGTTCCTAAGTGATTGTTAAGAATGGATGAGCTAAAAGCTGGAGAAATGCAAATCCTTCTCTGTCTTAACCCATCTGCCTAGCTGGGCCATTTAGGCCCTCCATTGCACTTCACAATTACTGCTGCTGAGACAAAGTTTAGAAAGTGCCATTGATGGAGTTGTGGTTATCATGACAGTTCTTACACTGGCTTCCTTAGGTTTTACTTACGTTTTGCAGCTTATTCTTTTATTCTCTCTTCTGGTTCCTCCCTTCTGACTTCTCTCTGATGTTTTTCTTTTTCCTTCCATCTTCCCTGCTTTGCCTGTGTGCACAGGATGGAGTTCAAGATCTCCCACAGTGGAGGAAGAAGCTTCTTTTCCTTGTGGTGCTAGGAGGAGTTAATCTAAAAGAGGCTTCCCAGCATGTTCATGCAACAGCCTGTTGGTGATTAACAGGCTGCCGATCTGGTGTGCTCAAAGTTTGTCTCCCTCATAGTAAGGTAGGAGGGTGAGAATTATAAATTCTGCAGGTCAGCTTGGTGCTGAACTACTTGTCCTTGCATTTTCTATGAAAACACACAATGCACTTTGCCTCTTCTAATTCCAGCTGCCTTACAAGCACTGAAGAGAAAAAAGAGATATGAGAAACAGTTGAATCAAATTGATGGGACACTTTCAACCATTGAGTTCCAGAGAGAGGCATTGGAAAATTCCCACACCAACACAGAAGTGCTCAAGAATATGGGTTATGCTGCACAAGCTATGAAAAAAGTACATGAAAATATGTAAGTGTTTCCTAGTAGCTTCCAAGTTGAACTTACTAACCACTTTCAAATTATTCCATTACTATAGACTGTTGTATCAAGTTAGATAGTTTTGACTTCATTTTTGGTTTGAGCACTGAATGTCAGGAATGCTATTAGTGTTATATAGTGTTATATTTGGCAGAAAAATATCTTTTCCTAACAATAAATCTAGAAGGAAGCTCACTTAACTGGTGAGATCTGTTTTTTTCAGTCCGTCTTGGCAGTGGAGAGTGGCCTCTGCCCTTGGTTTGTCTAGAAGAAAATCTAGTCATAGAAATTAGGTGCACTCTTTTCTTCAGAATCCATAAACTGGACTGTGGGATTGAAAGTCCTGATTAAATGCACTCCCTTTCCCAACCCACCGCCCCCCCCCAAAAAAAAAAAATTACTTTTTTTTTTTCATATGTCCTATATTGTTTCAAAGGGTGTTTTTCTGCCTGAATAAACAGAGTTAAATCAGAAGGGTTGTTCTGGGAGAAATAAACAGGAACTGAAACAATAACGAAGTTAACAATAAGGGGAAACCTTTAAATGGGGTACAATTCTGTTAAGTTCTCCCCAGTTCTGATGAAACCTTAACATAAGAAAAGATCCATAAAATCATAGAATAGTTTGGGTTCAAGGGGACATTTAAAGATAATCCTGTTCAAACACCCTGCAGTGAATAGGAATATCTTCAACCAGATCAGGTTGCTCAGAGTCCATCCAACCTGACCTTGGGTGTTTCTAGAGATGGGATAGATACCATTTCTGGGCAACCTGTGCTGGTGCTTCACCACCCTCATTGTAAAAAGCTTCTTCCTTGAATCAAATCTAAATTGACCCTCTTTTGGATTAAAGCTGTTATCCTCTGCCCTCCACAACAAGCCATGTAAATGTTTATCCCCATCTTTCTTATAAAGCCCCTTTAAGTACCAAAAGGCCTGCAAAGACGCTGACCTTGGGGAACTGCCCATGGGCTGTGACTGGCTGGCAGAGGTATGAGGAGCACAGAGAGAGAGACACTCTGCTGCAGTTTGATTTTTGTTATAATCCTGACATGGAAGTAGCTGGGCTGGGTGTAGGTGAGGAAAATTACTCCCTGTGAATTCTGCTTTTTATAGAGTCATGGGCATAAAAAGAAAACAGAGTCTGTTAAAGTGAGTGTGTTCTGTAGGATTTGATTGATACATCCTTTAAAAAAATATTTTTATGTTACCTTTCCAGGGATTTGAACAAAATTGATGATTTGATGCAAGATATCACTGAACAGCAAGATGTTGCCCAGGAAATTTCAGACGCTATCTCAAACCGAGCCACCTTTGGTGATGAGTTTGACGAGGTTAGTACTTCAGGCCTGTGAGTTTTAACTCCATAGTTATTTTGCTGTGCAGTGGTTTGTTTCTCAAGAAGTGTGAATGTGAAATTCCTTGGTTCTAGCTCACTCTATCTAGGAAAGTTGTAGAATTGTATTATAAATATAAAAATTAAATAAAGCCATTATATATAAAATATATAATGTACTAAATAAAAATCTGTAAATACAAAAATATAAAAAATATTTTTATTTTTTGTATCAATTTTAAGAAAAGCATTTTTAACTGCACTCCTGTAGTTATTGTTCTCATTTGAGCCTCGGAAAAAGGTCACTAAAACATGTAATTTGTACTACTCCAAGTGGACACTGAAACATATAATTTTTTTGTTGCTCCAAATAGACATCCATTTGACTTAAGTGCATGTCTCTATGTCATGGACAGGCTACTGTTCATAATTCTGAATATTTAAACCATTTTTTAAGGTCATTTTTGGTGCAGGTCCTTTCCCTATTGCCCAGACCACAAAAGTAGATCTGATAGGTAGAAGTAATACCTGTTGGAGTCAATAAGGTTTCATTCTAAAGCTCTTTTCTTCTGAAACCCCCACAAAGCATTTAGGACCTTCTCAAAAATTGTTGCAGTAGCTTTCATCCAATGCCCCCAGATTTGATTTTGTACATCTAAACAGGATATAAATTATTTCTGATCCAACCATGGTTGAGGACTCAAGGGTCAAGGTTACTCAAAATTCTTGTAATTTCTGGAATGCAGAGATGGATGTCAAGCTCAATATCACAACCACTTTTGTCTTGTTTTTCAGTTTTGTTTCAAAATGGCCAAGCACTAAGAATCATTTGAAGAAAGTCTTGAATACTCAAACTGTTCACTGTATTCCCAACTAATTTGTTCTTATATTCCCAAATGGACAAAAAAGAAAGATATAAATGCTATATTGCACATATTGACTTGATTGGGAGGAAGAAGTAGCTTCATTCAATAGCTCTAATTTGTTGAAAATAGTAAAGAATCTTTGTATTTTGTTCCCATTACCTGTTTTCCTGTATTTCCCCTTTGAATGTAAATTTTCCAAGAAACATTTAGGCATTACTGGCACAAGGAATGGGATTTGGCCTGCGCTTCAAACACTTGAAAAGCATCCTGCCACCCCAAACAGCTGTACAGTGTCTTGCTTTTCAACAGTGCTTAACTTTTTGGAGTCTAGGCTTAGTAAGTATGTTGTAGATTGACCTGGAAGTTTCTAAGGGATACCAGTTGAAGCTGATGTGCATTGTTCCTGTTTGGGAAATAAGCCCCTGTCACTTGGAACATCGTTGTACCAGCTTTTGCATGGGAGCCTAATACTCAGAGCACTTGGCAGTAACTGGGAAACCTGGTTTGCAGGCTACTGCAACTTGAGTGTGCTAGAATCAATGACTTAATTGCTGGGATATAAGGTGGTTAGTGTTGAAGGATAATGTTTAATTGATTTTTTTTTTTTTGAAGGATGTTTTTTCCATGCATTTGGATGCATTTTCTCTTCACATGTGTCCCGTGGCTGTAAGGAGACCATGGAAGCATGTGATTTCTTGTGCTCCAGATGGGCACAGAAACATAAGAGTTTCTTCTCCCTGGGTGGTCACAGTGTATGTTTGCCTTAAATTATAAAACCATGAGAAAGTAAATTCAGGCATAAAGTCCTGTGGTAGCTATGCAACTGTCATTTTAACTTCTACATTGGTGATAAACAAAGTATAAATGTGTAGGCAAAGCCCATTTCAGTACCTAATAGCTCTTATGTTGCAACTTCTTTGACACTTACCCCTCCCCTCTCTAGTTGTTTTTGCCCATTGTTTCTTTTAAATGATTTTATCAATGTGGCAGAGGTCCATTTCTTCACATACATGTACCATATAGCTTCCTTTCTTTGGGAAACTTCAGCTGAGGAATAAGTTCCTTGCTTTTTTAAAAAGCATACAGCCTTTTTATTTTTAGCATTGTACAAGTGGATTAGATCATCTGTCCAAATCAGCCTCTGCACCTAAAAGCCCATGAGTGCAGCATGTTTCAAGAGTGAATAACAGGACCCAGGAGGACAGTTTTGATTCCAGTCCTGCTTTGAAATCACATATAATCCTGGACTTATGTGATAGAGCTGAAGAACAGTGTTTAATGACAGTCTGCCGTATAACCAGTGGAAGGTGTTATAAAATGGGAGAAATGGCACATTAAAGTTTGAATCCATTGAAGAATACAGGCTCTAGATCTGGAAGAACAAACCTGAAGACAGCAGAGAGGCATTTTACTCCCATATTTGCCTTTTTGGCATGAACTGTACTGCTGTTAGTTTTGTTTTTAGGTTTATTTCTTGTCCTGTTTCTAACTCTCATTGTCCTATTTTCAGTGTTCAATTAATGTTTACTTAACTGCCCATACTTAGTAAAATTGCACATTTAATATGCTGTTTCTTGATATGTCCTTTCAGGTGTAAACTGTTTTTTCAGAAGTAGTTTGCTTCACAGTGGTTAAATGTGCCCTTGCATGTAACCACTGACAGAATTTGTAAGTAATGTTTTCCTTGAATTTAGGATGAGTTGATGGCAGAATTGGAAGAACTGGAGCAAGAAGAACTGAACAAGGGAATGAGAGATGTCACATTGCCAAGTGTTCCATCCACATCGTTGCCTTCTCGTCCTGGTAAAATGCCTGATTGCTATTTTACATTTCTCATGATTAAGCCATACTGTGAGAAGGGGGAGAGGAAGAGAGGGTTTCAGATATGAATTTAACTCTGTTATAACTTTTAAAATGTTATAAATTCCTTTTCCTGTTTTTGTATCTGCTTAACAGAAGAAGCAGAGTGGGATTTCATTTTGCTCAGTGAAAGCATTTAGGACCAAATTCTCTGTAGATTTGGGGTGACAAACTCGGGGAACCTGACCTTGCACATACACTGATGAATCTACTGAAATGTAGTAAGATCATTGAGGAATGATCTTTTTTGCCTTTTTTTTTTTCTTCTTTTTGGCAATTAAATCCTTAGTCTCTTTCAGTTAGAGCCTGACCTAGATTCCAAATGTTTACGTCATAAAAATCCAGTTTTGCAGGCGTAGTGGTTTGATATCTTCCGCTGGTATTTTAATTAGAAATGAAGGAGGCATTGGGAAGTACATATTTAAAGACATATGTTCGTTCCTTTGCTTTCTTTGTACTGAATAGGCTTATTTCTGGTATTAAGCTGTAGTTTTATTTTTCTAAAATTCTGCCCTGTTCATTTTGAATTCAGCCAGAGGCAGTCAACTTTTAATACACTTTTCAATGTCAGTTTAAAGACTTGCTGTCTACTGAAATTAGTAAAAGAGTATAAACACTTGATGGTAAGGACAGTACACATGTGACTCAGGTGGTTTATGGTTTCTGCTACAGAACAGGTTACCTAGACCAGCTCAGCTTAGATCCTATGATATGTGTTTTGGCAGATGACACTTAAATCCTGAGAAGCAGTTTAAAATGTTCAAACTGAGACTGTGGCTTCATCTACTGAACTCAATTGCAGAACAGCTAGTTAAAAAAAAAAAAAAAAGGATTTAGAAAAGCCGTGAAAATCCAGTGTGGCCATTTATGATTTGTTCATGCATTGTCTTCCCAATCCAGATCCAGCTGTGCCAGTTGACATTTTTATTAAACCCAGACCATATCCATGTGCTTCTCACTATTTTAATTTTCTACATCCACCTGTATGGTTGTTTCAGGCAAGATTAGCTGTTTACAATTATATAGTTCAAGGCTGTGAAAAACTAGCTTATGTTTTCTGAAACTCTCTGCTTACTGTCACACAGCAACAGCAAAATTAGACCAGTTGATGGATCTATGATGCTTCTGATTGGAGATGCATGTTGCCCTCCTAATTTGAAGATGAGGAAACTGCCAATGAAGCGAGGCATAGTGACATTCCCCAGTCACGCAGTGAACCTGTGACACTTGCAGAGGAGGGAGTGCAGCTGTGGCCCCCCATGTGCTTTTCCTTAGTCCCTGGAGTGGTAGTGGAGTTCCCCTCTAGACAGTGGCCCCTGGCCCTGCAGCTAACTCAGGTGGGAGCAGTCTGGCTGCTGTGAAGGTGCATGCAGGTGTCGGACTCAATAAGTGTTCCACTGGTGGCTGCAGAGATGCCAGTCCTGGTGTTCACAGCCCACAGATGGAGGAGGCTGAACCTTGGCTTTTGGGCCTCTAGTCTGCAGGTCAGCAAATGAGGACAATTAGGGTGAGGTTTTGGTTTAGTGAATGCAGGTGATGTGTGATAGGAGATTTGGGTACAAAGTGTGTGTGGTACCTGATACAGAGCTGGGAATTTCTGTTGCAGTGAACACAGCAGTTAACTGATGTCACCTGAGCAAAGCAAGTTAAGGAATATCTTTCTCTGTTTAATAAATGACACCACCTGTTAAAATGGAGTGAGTTCATCCAGAGACTTGCATGTGCAGATCCTCTCAGCACTATTTGGAAAGGTAGCAGGACGTGCAGCTGGCCAGGATAGGTCACTTTTGTTCGTTTACATGGTGGTGAGAGAACTGACAACATTCTTGTGGGCCTTTTCTGGCTGTGACAACCTTTAGAAATTAAATGTTTTTTTCTATGTGAGTCTTTCAGTAGGAATGATGTCAGACCTATATTGTGAACTTGAGGGTTTTACAGGAAATAATGATTGGGCAGAATAGCCACAACTCTTATGAGCTTCATTCCTGCATTACTCATGTTCAGCTTGCTACTCAGTAAATTGGTCTATAGAACTATAGAAGTCCTCATACTAACAGATAGAATGGTTCTGACTGTTACACTAGTTGATGGTTATTGTCTCTTTATCTACAGCATCGACCAGGAAAAGAGCAGAAGATGAAGATGAAATGAAGAAACTGGCTGCCTGGGCTTCATAAGAGGATGGTCTTTTTGTAACATCAAACATTGTAGTGCAGAATGTAAGGAGCTGCACTGCTGTTTTATAACCACACTGATTTACTGTGGTTGCATTTCATACAGGCTGGGATTTTTTATGGCACATATTGCTTAAACTAGTGTTACTCCCATATTTCAAAACTAGCTGAAAAACCAGCAAACAAAGGAGTTAAATAGTTGCCTAAACCTTCAGGCATAATTTTTTTTCAGCCTCGTCAAGAGATTTGTTTTATTATTAGTATCAGTTTTTAATAGGTACTATCTTACCATGTCTGTTGGTTTGTAAAACCCATGTGCCTCACTTATGCTCAAAGCAGGATTCATTTTTGAAATTAGAAAGTTTAGTAAGGGCCCTATAACTAGAGGGTTATTTGGTTCAGACTGTTTGAATATTAGCAAAAGAGTTTAGTACATGTCCTCACTTGCAAGTTCTTTGAGCCGGAGTACTAATAACTATTCAGTTAGACATGAAGATTCAAACAGTCTTCCTGGAGCAACTTATGGTGTCCTAGATATTAAGAGGAAGCTCTTCTGTAGGCTTATTGAAGTGGGATGTGTTATTTGTTTTAATTGGCCAAAATGTCCCATGCACTCCTATAGGTCAAGTTGCATTGTATTTTGGATTATTTCTGACTAGGTTACAGAATTACAGTGATCAAGGAAAGCAAAATGTCTAGATTGTTACAGATTCCTGCCAAACACTACTGATTTTCATTAAGCCTGTCAAATCTCCAGAAGAGATTTGACCTTGCTGTTTTCTCCTCCACTACCTTGTCTCTTTCTAGGATGAGTCTTTACTTTGTATGACAATGCTCGTCCTCATCAAAGGAATTAGCAACACATTTTTAGTTACACAATTTCAAAATAGTTTTAATTTCTGAGCATCTGGTTCTTTTCTCTTACTCAGTTTGTGAATGGAAATGATACCAGTGTGTTGCATTTGCAAGACCTTTTTAAACCCTGGTTAAAAGCTGATTCTGGGTTACTTGTAAAGTTGGTATGTTACTGTTCAACAGCATTTTAGCCTAAGGAAAAAATGCCACTCTTGAATGCTAAACTACTACATATATGGAGAGATTGCTGTTCAAATACAACCCAAAAATTAAATAGGCTGCTTTGTACTAACAAAATATTAAATAAATCTTAAGCTCTATGCTAGTAGCTTGCTGTTAATCACAAGAAAATAGTAGAACAGTGTGGAGTTCCTAGGGGTGTAGGAAGCAGAGTCCTTGATCTAGGTTTCTTGTTTTTAAATTAATTTAAATTTAGTGATGACTGAACCACCTGGGGAATAGTGGTGGACTTGGTTTCTGTAGATCTTCAGCCACAGAAGACTGACTTCTTCTCCTGCAGGCTTTACCCTGTGATTTGCTGGGTGTTCAGCTTCAACAGGCTTCAATAGCCTTCAGCTTAGTGGATTTTAGGTTAAGTATATAATGTGTTTCTAGACATGGTCTGCTCAGAGCCTTTCAAGTTGAACCCTATGGATGTAACCCAAAATGTATAAACCCTTTGGAGGGTTTGACTTTTTCAGGACTTCCATTCTCTGTGGAGAAATTGCTTTTGGATTGTATCTGTATGAGAGTTGAATCAAGCCTTTTTGTTCAGAGTAGAGAAAATCTGGAATTATTTTTGTTTTAAATACAAAATAAAACAGAAGGGAAAAAAAAGAGGACAGAACTGCCTTAAATTTAAAAATATATTTTGAACTCTGAAAGAGTAGGAAACCAAATATAACAAAATGCTACTTGGTTTTAATGCTTGCTGAAATTCAGCATGAGAATACTAGCTGAAAGCAGAATACTTAGTAAAATATTCAAAGTTATTTCATACTCATTTGCTAATCCTTCTGGCTGAGTCCTGTGTTCAAGGTGTGCAGTTTATGCAGGTCTCAGAATTGGAATTGTGTACAGAACATATCAGCACACACTGGGTGTGTGACTGTGCAAGGCTGGCAGTGTCTTTGTGGACACTTCTGGTATTTCTAAATATGAGGCCATGCCAACACAATCCCGTAGTTAGTTTGGAAAAGCTGGCTTCCAGCCTCTGTTCTTGGTTGAATTAGTAGTTAAGAATGCTTAGCTCTTATGTAGGTAGCACTTGGCATATTCAAAGTGCTCTACAACCTAATGGGTCTCTAAGCTTCTATTTTGAAACTAAAATGACTTTCAGTCTGCTTTGGAAAATGGGGGCCTACTGTTTTTGAATAAGAACTTTGCATGTGAACACTCCTCACTGGAGACAAAATAATCCTGCAGAGATCTTCTTTGACTGCTGCCCTCCAGCAGTGTTTTGGCCAAATGTTGATCCTGAAGAAGTTTCAGGTGTTTTCAGCTAATTAATGTTCAGACCAAGCACTTTAAAAACAAAACTTTTGAAAGGTGAGGAAATGAAAATGAATATTCAGGTGAGCTGCTCTGAAAGCTTATGTATAGTAGCTGGTGATCCTGAAAGACAGACTCATGTACCAGTTCATAAGCCAGGATGTGAGGTTGGTGAAATTATACTCAGAAGCACTGTAGTGATACACAGAAATGAAAATACACCATGGACCTCCGTAATTGGAGTGATTTTTTTTGGTTTTTGTTTTGTTTTTTTTTTTGACCACAGTTTTCTTCAAGGGAAAAGGGGTTGTAGGGATTTAATTCAGCTGAGGGAGTGGCTCTTTCCTGTGTAAATTCGGATAACAGTGGGACAAATGGCCCTTTTGTATTTGAACATATGCCTCTCTTCATGCCAAGATGGTATTTGTTTAGTATGTAAGTAGTTGAGAGTGAATAGTGTCAATGTGTTATTGTAAATGTACCCTGCTAACTGGAACATATTTTACAGGAGGACTGTTGCAGCAGATGGTGTACTATAACTGACTTCCTTTCTTGTTGTTTATTTATTCTGAGATTATTTGTTTCTCATAAGAGGCTTAGACACTTTTAATCTGGATAACTTTTAAAAAGGGGAAAAGAAAGTAAATAAAGAAAATAAAAGTAAAACCAATTCATGTATGTATATATATATATATACACACACTGTAAATAAATATTTTGGTGTCATGTTTGTGTTACATGATTTTATTAAATTTCTTTTCCCATCAGGCAAAATTGTAAGTACCCTCCTTACACTGTCATTAGGATATAGTGCTCTTTTAAAGGATGTGAGAATATTTTTAAACATTTTTTGTTGTATTAATCTTTCAGCAGCCAGTTAGAATTCAAGAATTCTTTGAAGTTGATTTGGTTTACAAAAAAAAAAAAAAAAAACCCACCCCAATGTAAGCTGTGGTGTTTGGGCTGCATTCCTTCACACTTAACCACTGTTCAAGAAATTATTTTAATTTAATATATCCAAAATATCTCCCTCTCCTCCCCTCTGACCTGTAGATCTTATTATTGTTTCTGAAATTGTTTCAGTGTTTTTCACTTTCCAGGCCTTATTTGAAAGGCAGAATGATCAGGTCTTTTAAAAATGAAAAAGAAAAATATACGATAGGCAAGACTGAAGTGCGACAAATACAAAAGGCATTTTTTTCATTAATCTTACTAGAATCTGTTTAAAGTCTGTGTGTGTGTATAGTGTCTCACCTATAGTGTACACACACATATTTTCATGCATGTATGAAATGCTGGAGCAGTGGTTTAGGACCACCATCTGTTGTGGAAAGGTTGCAATTGCTGGGGCAGCTTCTCTTTTCCTCTTTGTGAGTCCTAAGGGCTTTGTCACAAAATGCCAAGGAATTGCTGTGGTTTGAGCACTTGTCTGTGTCTACAGCTGTAGGGGGGTAGAAGAACAGGATGAGTGTGCAGGGGGAATATTTAGAAAATCTCACTGTCTTCCATGATGTAGGGCTTATATTATTTTAATTACGTCATTTTTTTAGAAAAAAAATTTAGTCTCAAAAATTATTTAGCAATTCATCTTGAGAATGACTAGTAGTATAATTTCAGGTAGCTGTCATGTTTTCTCACACCTGTCCTCATTGCAGAGCCTGTGGCAAGACTCACCTTCATAGCACTATTGAGTCAGGTGAATATTGTAGGAAAAATATAGCTGCTTTATGTGACCTTGATCATAGTTTAAATGGTTTGTTTTGTTATCAGCATGTAATTAATTACCTGGTCACCATTGGATTACACTCCTAGGATCAATATCTGCAGATCAAACTAGATTATATAGTTATGAAATGCTAATATGTGCCTAGAAATTTCTGAACAACCTTGTATACCTGAGATGACTGTGTCTGGCAAGGTCACATGGGCCTCTGTGCTGCCCTGCTCCCCTCCTTGTAGTGTGTAGTCCTGCACACTACACTTGTGGTTTTGTATTTTGGTTATATGTATGCTAGCTGACTTTTCCCCCTGCAACTAGAAGTCTTCTGATAATTCCCTGGTTGCTGTTTTCTACAACTGAGTGTCAAATTCCTCTTTACCAAGATAAACTTTGGGCAAATGCCATCCTGGGGAGTTTGGGCTTGACAATTAGGCAGCCCCTTACAGTCTGTGCTGTCTCAGCAGCCTCTGATACCCAGGCTGTTTTCAGGGCAGCAGGGCAGTGTAGGTACCCTTCAGCTGACTTTCTCAAAGGGCTAGGATTGAAAGGCGAGTTGAGGATTTGTGATTTGACCTGAATTTAATCAAATAGGTAGTAGGCCAGTTTTCTGAGCTGGTGGCTTGCTCCCGTGTCAGTACCTCCCATTCCCATTGTTGTGACATCAGTTTCACTATATAAGTTTTATAGGGCAAGGAGTGTTTTATGGGTTCAAACAAGATTTACAACTCCACCCTGAATTTAGCACCATTTCCTCAAAAAAATTAAACTTGTACTTTAGGAGTAAAGTGAGTGCTCAGATACACTCTATCCAGATAGCTTTACTTTTGTACTCAGCTTACTAAAGGGACCTTGGTGCAGATGCTGAACAAACGAAACTCAGCTGGGACTGCAGATGTATGTGTAGGGTTGTTATATAACCCCATACCTATATTGTCTGTACCCTGTGTGTATACAGGGTTTTGGAGTGCCCGGTGTGGCTGCTGCCCAGCAGCAGTGGTGAGCTCCATCAGCGCCAGGGCTGGGACTCTGCAGACCTCCAGGAGGAGCTCTGGGTTCAGCATACAGCAAGAAACTCCAGCAGGCTGGAAAGGCTGCAGTTTTCTCACAGGACCTGATTTCAGTCTTACTGCTCATGCTGGAGGAAAAGGCCTGCCTGGAAGTGCTGTTCCAAAATCAGGGGTGAAACTCTCCCACTCCTCCGAGTCCTCCCACAAATACCCACTTGTTCAGAGCTAAAATGCTCTTTTAAATACTAACCCACCTTCTTGGCTGCTTCTCTGGCTTTTGTCTCTTTTCTTCTCGTCTCCTGTCTATGGCCACCTTGG